CTTTAGACAATAAGCTGTGGCAGTTGCATGGCCTATTTCATTTATTTCCCATCAGGTATGACACTGATGTATAGTATCCCTGAAGCCATTTAAAATATTTTGACTGGGTTTTTAGTTGTTTCGGACAGGAAGGTAAATCTGATCCTTGTTATTGCATCTGTTGTTGTTTGCCGTCAAGTTGGACCTGACTCATAGCGACCCCTCCTTATGTTTCCGAGGTGGTATCACTACAGAAGTGGATTGTCCATCCTTCCTTCTGAGGAGTGGCTGGTGGGTTTGAACCTCTAGTTATTGCATCTAATTGAAGGAAAAACTTGCTGAAGATTATAAAGATGTAGCTGCTCAGTGCCATCAAGTCACTTTTGACTGATAGCCACCCCATGTAATAGAGTAGGACTGCCCCATATGGTTTTTTAGGCTGTAATGTTTACTGGAACAGATTGCTGGTCTTTCTCCTGCAGACCTACTTTTTGAACAGCCAGACTTTCACTTAATACCCACATGCTTAACTGTTGAAACACCAGGGCTCCTTTATTTATAAAGATAGATACTATACATTGCATCAAAACATTAGACAGATACATAAATGAAAGAGGAAAATGTTAGGATTTACTTGTAGTAGGAATTAAAATCAAAGTAGGAAATTGTTGCCTTCAAAAATGATCTTTGATAGATGACAGAGGTTAAATATTAGATCATTGTCCTGGACATCATAGTATTACATTTATGAGCTTATCATTCTTTTAGTCTTTCTCTTGTTCTAGGTGTCTCTCTTTCCCTCCTTTTTTAGTTGTTGACTTCTACATTCTCGGTTTCTTTTTCTAAGTAGATCATTTGGACAGTTATTTTCAAGCATCTTTGTTAATGCAGTCCCTAAAAGAAGTTTTAAAAATGTACAACTTTTTGTACACTGTGTGAGTATGTGTATGTTTTCTTTCCCCACATTTTTAAATCTACATCTAAAATTTTTCATTGTACATTTAAATAATTGTCACTTTCCCCATTGCATTGTAAATATTGACATTTTAAAATAAAACTATAATATAATTTAAATACCATAGTGATTTTGTATCATCTGTTTAAGGTCCCTGGGTAGCACAAACAGTTTGCACTGTACTACTGACTTAAAGTTCGATGGTCAAATACACCCAGTAGCATGACAAAATAAAGGTCTAATGATCAGCCTTCATAAAGATTACACTTAAGAAAATCCTATGGAGCTCTATTCCACTCTAACACTTGGCATTACTGGAAGTCAGAATCAACTTGATGGTGATAGATTTTTCTTTTGGGTATTGTCTGTGTACAGAACAGATGAAAAAACACTTACTTAATAACTGGATATTTTTATCTCTTTTTTTTCACCTGGATTTCGTATTTCTATTTTACGTCACAGAATTTTATCCTAGTATTTTTATAATTTATGGTTTATTATATTATTATCCTTGTTGCTTTTTATACTTCTCTGCAAAAATGTGTATAAATTAGAAGTTTAATTATTTATAATTGCCTGTGACCATAAGGCGCTGAGTCCTAATGTTTTTTTCTTCTAGGTTGCTTTATAATTATTATTATATGAGTTAATCAAAACACAAAGTAGCATGCTAACATTATTAGCATGCTACTCAATTCTGTATATTATTTCCAAGTTACATGCCAAGAGTTGTATGATCGAAGATTATTTTTAATGATTTATAAGCTGTCGTTTTAATGGGATTCTCTGTTAGACAAGCAGGGTATCAGAAAACACTGATAATGTAGAATCATTGACATTCTCAGTTTTAACAGTATATCAGAAACTTATTAAATAACTATTAATTAGTTATTTTGTCACCCAGAAGCATCTTTGCTTAACCATCTGATTTATTTCAATATATCTTTACCAAGTTTTTTTAAAGTAATGTTTATATATTATCATTTGAACATTGAAATATTATTTGTTAAAAACTTGAAACAGCTAATATAACAAATTTAATGTATGTAAAGTGTCTGTCATGTAAACTATATCACAAAAACAGTCCTTATTGACAAAACACCTATTCAAATAGACTGTCAGAAAAATCGTGATTTCATTTTTCAAAAGTTCAAAATATAAGTATTAATATGTTATTTAATGAATAAATTTTAAAACTGAAAAATAAATTACACATCTTATAAGATTATCGAAAGCAAACATTATTACAAAGATATGGATCTAACATAAATCAGAAAAATAAATCTACTTGCTATTTCTTATTACTTTAATTATAAAGTTATTTTTGAAGTGAGGAATATGATAAAAGGTGTGTATGTATTAAATGTTCATATATGTATTGAGCTTTGGAAAATAATTAAAAGAATCATGTAAACATTCAAATATAGCTCCATTAATTTTGTTAGGTTCCCTGTTAAAATGCTACACATAATAATGAAAAGGAAATATGTGTATATGGGTAAAAATTAATCCAAAAACTTAGACTTTAATTTTCTTAAACAGAGGATAGAATATAGTCAGCATTTTAAAGTGAAATAGGGTAAGGATTAACTATAAGTAGAATAATTATTTTGTGATAGGAATTTAATAAAATAGGTTTTAAATTACATACTGAAAAATGTACAGAGAATTTAAAAGAAATCACATAAAAAATTTTTCTGTTGTTGATATGCTATAACTTCAAAATTTTACTAGTCCCAGAAAGCATTCCAGTTACATTTGTGCTAACCTTATAAACAGGTTATAGAGGGTTTTCTATTTTGACTGAATATTTTAAACTTTATCAGATTAGAAAGCGATATAATAAAGTAGGTGTAACATTGGTGTGGTTTGTAGATGCTCTAAGTTAAAAGCAAAGGTATAATATTTAATAGCTAACATTTAATTGTGCTTTTACTGTGTGCTAGACATTTGTCTGAACACTGCATGTTTTAAATAAATTCTTACAGAATCTGTAAAAGGTAGCTCCTATTATTATCCTCATTTCACTGATGAGAAAACTCAATCACAGAAAGTATTTTGCCTAAATCAGCCCAAAAGTTGGTAAATAAGCAGCAGAGCCAGAATTAGAGCCCAGGCAATCTGTCTTTAGAGGTTGTATCATTCACCAAAGTGCTTTTGTACCTCTCAAAATTATGCTGTCATCGGTTTCCATCTTTAGGGTTGGTGAAGTGGATTTTAATGTAGTACTTTTTATGATATGATATAAAAGAAAGTTTTTAATCATGTTCAAGGGCTTTGGAAAACTAAGAATTCTTTATGATAAATGGATTCAATTGTGCTTTATGAAAAAGCAACTTTGAAAAGGGAATTCTGAAACGGCCTTCAGTTATTTACTATTTGAAAGCATAGGAAACTAGTTTAAATCAACTAAATTATTCTAGTATAGCAACAAAAGATTGAAGGTTCAAGTTCAAGTTCAGAAGAAAACCCTGGCAATCTACTGAAAAATTGTTGTTGTTGTTATATGCCGTCGAGTCGGCCCCGACTCATAGCGACCCCTCCTTGGGTTTCCGAGGCAGTATCACTACGGAAATAGGATTGCCCAACCTTTCTTCCGAGGAGTGGTTGGTGGGTTTGAACCGCCAGCCTTCTGGTTAGCAGTCAAGTGCCTTAGCCACTATGCTACCAGAGCTCCCATTGAAAATACTACGGAGCCTAATTCTATTCTGACACGCATGGGTTGCCGTGAGTCAGAATCATCTTGACAGCAATTGGTTTTGGATAAGCAGGCACTGCTAGTATCTCTATTGTCAGGTTTTTCAGAATGATTTTTAGTAAACAGTACTGACTTATTTCAACAAAAACAGCCTCGCACAGAGCAAGAACACGATAAAAAAAACCCACTGCCATTGAGTCGATTCCAACTCATAGAGTAGAGCTGCCCCATTGGGTTTCCAAGGCGGTAAATTTTTAAGTAAGCAGACTGCCTCATTGAACCCCTGACCTTTTGGTCAGCAGTCCAGTGGTTTCACTATACCACCGTCAGAGCTCCTTTCAGTAGCAGATGATAATGAGAGCAAATATATTCAAGTTATTGCTTAACTACTGCTTCTTAACCTTGCTTTATTCCATGAGGTAATTATATACCCTTTCTCATTCAATATACGGTGACCACACAGGCCTCTGCTCACTCATTATTTTTGCTGCAGCACATTGACCCCTATTTGGTACACCCTGATTTTAGACTCCTTATATTTCTTTCCTAAATTTCGATTTGTTCCAAGTATTTATAATTACTTCCTCCTTCATGTCTCTGCCAAATCCTTTATTTAGTATCCTATGTTTCCTATTCATTTCAAATCTTCACCTGCCTAGTTAGCTTTTTTCTGTTACGCTTTCCATCGCTTTTATATTTGAATCATTATGTTCTAATTCGTATCTTTTATATCATCAGATGTAGATATAGATAGAGGGATATATTAGCTCTGTCTCTCTCTCTCTCTCCATATATATGACGGTGACTTCAGTGTTAGAAAGTGGAACTGCTTCATGGGGTTATTTTGGCTGTAATCTTTACAGAAGCAGTTCACCAGGGCTTTTCTTCCACAGAACCTCTGAGTAGGTTTGAACTGCCAAACTGATAAACTGTTAGCAGTTTATCATAAACCACTTGTGCAACCAAGGCTCCTTCCTGTTGTGTTTACTGGTCATATATGTCTAATTGGCATTCTGGTGGCATAGTGTTAAAGCATTTGGTTGCTAACTGAAAAAAGTTGGGGTTTCAAACCCACCAGCCACTCTGTAGGAGTGAGATGAGGCAGTCTGCTTCTGTAAAGACTTAAAGACTTAGAAACCCTATAGGGCAGTTCTACTCTGCCCTTTAAGGTTGCTGTGAGTTGGAATCAACTCAATGGCCGTTTTTTTTTTTTTTTTAATACGTCTGATTATACACAAGAGGTTAAAAGAAGTTAGTTATTAGCCTTCTGAAATTTTTTAAATATCTAAATCTAATTATTTTGTTACAGTAAGAAAAATCTTAGTGTGTTTCTTTTTTTTTTTTTTTTCCTATCTCACTGTTTCTTAGGTTTTATGGCAATTGGACATATTCCGACGAAGCTTGAGGATTTTAACTGGACATGTTTGTCAGGGAGATGCCTGCATATTTTGTGCATTGAAGGTAACTTTTTAATAGTTCTGAACAAATACTATTAATTGTTTCTCCAGCAATTCACTTGTATTTGATTATTGATGTATTTATCAATCCTGGGTAGCAGAATCATTTGTTTGTAATTAAAAGTTTATTATCCACTGGCTTATAGTTTTGAAGATTAATTCTTAAAGTGACATATTCAAAGTTATGTTTCTTTTTAATTTTTATCTAAAGGCAGTTAAAATTAATATTTTAAATAAAATTGTTAGGAACATTGTATTTTTTATTCATGTGAAATAGTTCTTTATTTATTCAGTAAATGTTTATTAGGTTCCTATTGTGCTCTGGGTACTGCTGTAGTAAGGAACAAAACTGATTAAAAAAAAAATCCCTGCTTTTGTAGAGCTTATGTTACTATAGAGGAGGAGACAATAAGTAAGCAAAATATGCAGTATGTTAGATAATATTAAGGGCTAAGGAGGAAAAATAAATCAGATGAAGAGGTAGAAGTGTGGAGTGTCTGGGAAAGCCTCACTGAGAATATATTTGAGTCAAGACCTGAAAAAGTTGCAGTGAACTATACGGCCATGTTCTGGGGAAACAGAAGAACAGCAGCTACAAAGGCCTGAGGTGGGAGTATGTGTGACTTTTTTCAGAGCACTCTGAGGAATCCTGGGTAGCAGAATCATTTCAGGGAAGAGGGAGAGTGGTAGGAGATTAGATCAGAGAAAGAATGGGAATTTGTGGTGGCTTTAAAACATGCCTGCAAATTCTTTGTATTCTTCCTATCAAAGGGAGTATAATACTTCTTTTAAACATGCCTTTATGACTTGCTTCCAACAAATAGAATGTGGCAGAAATAATGCTGTGAGATATCTGAGATTGTGATAGGTTAGAAAAGGTTATACAGCTTCCAGTTGACTATAGGAATTGACCCTTCATGTTCTAAGGAAGCCAAGCAGCCGTGCTGAAAGACCTCATGGAGGTTCCAGCATCAGCAGCTGGCATCTGACATGAGTAAGAGACCTTCAGGTAATTTCAGGTCTAAGCCTTCAAATTGCCCCAAATAATGCCTAATGTAAAGAGATGATCTATAATAAATAACTGGAATAGGCCTAGATTGTAAAAAACCTACTGCCAAAGGGGCGGGAAGGCCGCATCTTCTGGCCTCCTCTAACGCACAAGAGGAAGACAGAATCACCATCAATAGCCCAAGGCCTGTTCCTGCGAGGCCAGACATGCTGCCTCTCTCCAGCCCTTTCAAAAACCCTGACACCAACCATTCCTCCCACAGCACCCAAAGCCTAACTGCTGAGTTTGATAATTTGCTGCAGTGGCCACACACAACTCACAGATTATGGGGTTTATTAGGGAGGCAACAGGCTGTAGTTCAAGTTCAGGAACATGTTTAGTCTCTCTCAGCCCACCATCTCTCAGCTGACAGTCTCTCTCCCAGCAGTGCGTGTCTCCCAGTGTCTCTCTCCCAGTAGTGCGTGTCTCTTGCATCTCTGTCTCTCAGTAATGCATGTGTCTTGTGTCTGCCAGCTGGCAGTGAGAGGTACTGCTTCTGCCTCTAGGAGGGCTCCTTTTGAGCCTGGCAGAGTGGCCAAACTAACCAGTCCCAATATCAGAATTCTATACACCTGAGAGAGAGTGTGAACTTCCAAGAAAATTGCTTCCTACTGCTCCCAACAGAAATACCCCAGGTGGATAACTTTAACAATCAGGAGCTACTCAGTTGCTCATGGCAAATTCCACCACGGAGTTTGCAAAGACTTATGGCTAGAAAAGCCACACTATGTAATTTAGTACACCATACCTACCTTGACTTTTTCTGAGTGATTTAGAAAGTTATGAGATTGTTTTGAGTATATGAGTAACAGAATCTGTCTTTTTTTTTTTTTTTTTTTACTAAATCTCTCTGCTTTGTTGAAAATAATGGATGGAAGACTGAGGGAGAAACAGGGAATTCAGTATGTATTAGCAACTCATTTATGTCACTGAAATCTTTGCCCAAGATTTTGTGTTATAAATTAAACTTTAAAGGTCACATAAGATTAAGAATTTAAGATTTTTTCAATGTGTTTTTGAGAACTATGTTACATTCTTAAATATTCTTAAACATGCAGAAAGATATACAAAAGGAAAAACAAGGCCATTTGCATGCTTTTTTTTTTTTTAACAGATTGTATGAATAAATCACCAAAGGAGGACATTTTATATCCTCCTTTTTAGAACATAGCCAAATCAGATTATTGTTAGGGGATAAAAAAATGACTTAAGATCAAATTACAGTATTATGTTTTATTTATGATGCAGTAAACTCTGAAAGTTTTGGCCAGTCATAGAAACTAATATGGTTCAATTTCTTAGCCAAATCTTTCATAGCTCTGTAGAATCAACTCCACCCACTTCTTGTTGCCTGCACCCCATCCCGCACACACTTCACTTTAGACAGAGTAGCTTCTTTGCAGTTCCTCAGAACTGACTCCCACCTTCAGGACTTTTCATTGTTACTTACTATACATGTGTTGCATTTCCTCATTTAGAGAATTATTTCTAACTGATAACTTGAGAATACTTTTTTAAATTAAAAGTAATTATCCTTTCTCTGACTCTTCTTATGAAATACACATTTTCATTTTTGAAAAACAAATTTACTACAGTGATAGTAGGAAACTTATCATTCTGTTTGAGTTGTCTAATATCTTTTATTAAATCAGAGTTTGTCATTTTTTTGAGGTTTACTTAGGACCCTAGTAGAAGAAACAAAATTTTTTTTAAGTTCACGTAGGCTAATTTAGGGTGTTTTTATTTTTGTTTTTAAGATTAGTAAGTTCATACTAATTTTTAAGTTCACGTAGGCTAATTTAGGGTGTTTTTATTTTTGTTTTTAAGATTAGTAAGTTCATACTAATTTTTATGTGATTATATATATATATATTTGGTTAACATAATTTTAATTCTTATTGTATTATTTTTAGATAAAAAGCAACTTTTCTTAAAACTCTGTTACTTAAGTGACTTCCATTGGAGTCACCAGAAGGCTTACTAAATCAGAATCTCTTAGTGTGCATGTTAATTTTTGTGCAAATTAATGTTAGATATTCACTAATTTAGAGGCTGTTGCAACAATTTCTGTAGTTTACTAATACAAGTAATTACTTTTTATGGAATTTTAGAGCTAAAGACTTTTTTTGTCTTAGTACATTGTTTTGCACTTCACTGTGTTATACTAAAGTTTTTACAGTTTTTTAAAGTTGTTGGCATTAAACTTACTGATATAATTTATAATTTACAGACAATATTTGCACAGTTTCAACACAGTCGAGAAAAAGCACTTCCCTCGGATAACATAAGGCATGCTCTTGCAGAAAGCTTCAAAGATGAGCAGCGATTTCAGCTTGGCCTTATGGATGATGCTGCAGAGTGCTTTGTAAGTATTTTGAGAATCTTTAAGAAGTGAGAATTCACTTGTGTTCCTTAAGTGATGTGAATTTTCAGACAGATGAATCGTAAATTTAGTAACAGTGGAAGAGTATCAGAACTGGTCAGTGAATTCCTATCTTGCCTAATCTTTCAAGGCTCAGTTTAAGTCTGTTTGTGTTTTGTGTGGAATCTCTGGGTGGCTGGAGGTTGGAGTCCACCCAGCAATGCCTCAAAAGAAAGGCCTGGCAATCTACTTCTCAAAAATAAGCCATTGAAAACCTTATGGAGCACAGTTTACTCTGAAACACATGGAATAGCCATGGGTTGGAGTCAACTCAGTGATAACGGATTTTGATTGAGATTTTGTGTAGTACTTTTGGTTTTGATATTTGTACTACTCTAGTTTTATTAAATGATAGGCCACTAAAATATTTTTAAAATTTATTTACTATAGTAGACTGCTTTGTTACAATAATTATATAATTTAAGTCAGTGTTCTCTCCCACAGAATTTACATGTGCAACAAATTCCCAACAGTAACCTTTCACATTACATGTAATGATTATTGTTGGTACAGATGAGGAGTTGGGTGAGTAACTGTTGGGATAGGTTGAGAATCCCTGACTGATGTTCTGAGGGTCTGCGTTACCACCTTAATAACAAATAGAGCATTCCTTTGATCAGGAACATCCCCTGTATTGTTGTTGCTGCTGTTAGATTGTTGTTAGGTGCCACTGAGTCACTTCCAACTCATAGTGACCCTGTATGCAATGGAATGGAACACATCCCAGTCCTGTGTCATCCTCACAATAGTTGCAATGTTTGAACCCATTGTTTAGCCACTGTGTCATTCTGTCTTGTTGAGGGTCTTCCCCCTTTTCACTGACCCTTTACTGTACCTTCATGATGTCCTTCTCCAGGAACTCATCCCTCCTAATAACATGTCCAAAGTACATTAGATGAAGGCTTCTCATCCTCACTACTAAGAAGCATTCCAGCTATACTTCCTCCAAGACAAATTTGTTTTGCTTCTGGCAGTCCAAGGTATAGTCATTATTCTTCGCCAGCACCATAATTCAGAGGCATCAATCCTTCTTTGATCTTCTTTATTCATTGTCCAGCTTTTAAATGCATATGAGTCGAGTGAAAATAACATGGTGTGTTAGACTGGGTTCTCTAGAGAAACAAAAACCAGTAAAGCTTATATATATGTATATATAGATAGAGAAATTTATCTTAGGAAAATGGCTCACACACTTACAGAAGCTGGCAAGTCCAAAGTCCCTGGAGCAAACCTCAGGCTGGAAGCTTTTCTTAGCTTCCGCAACCACAGGAGCCAAGAAGCTCAAGGCTGGCAGGCAGTACACTGGCTATTGACTCCAACGAATGACAAATCCAAGATCTCCAGGCCAAACAGTGGACTGCTCACTCACGGACAGTTGTAGGCAGCACAACAGAATCCCGATCCACAGAAGAATGTCTCTCTTCCCAGGATATCCCTGGGTATCCTATGAGTAGGCCACACCCCTAGGGAAATTCCCCTTGAACAGATTGGCCACTCAGAACACAGTCATCTGATCCCATCATGGGAACAACCACACAGAACTGGGGTCCAGCCAAGTTGACACACAGCTCCAACTATCACAGCCGGGTAGCTGTCTTCCAAATTACTTGGCATAGATGAGTGTGTGCCTCCAGCCCAGCATCAATGTGTTGAAACATCTCTATGGGTATTCTGTCAGCTCCTAGAGGCTTGTTTTTCTCCATTTCCTTCAGTGCAGCTTTGACTTCTTCCTTCAATATCATTAGTTCTTGATCATACACCACCTCCTGAAATAGATGAACATTGACCAATTATTTTTTATACAGTGATTCTGTATTCCTTTCATTTTCTTTTGATGCTTCCTACATCATTCAATATTTTTCCCATACAATCTTTGAATATTGTAACTCAAGGCTTGAATTTTTAATTCAATTCTTTCAGCTTGAGAAATGCAAAGTATGTTCTTCCCTTTTGGTTTTCTAACCCCAAGTTTTTGAACATTTTCATTATAATAATTGACTTTGTCTTCTCAAGCTGCCCTTCGAAATTCTCTGTTCAGATCTTTTATCTTGTCATTTCTTTCATTTGCTTTAGCTACTTTCTGTTCAAGAGCAAGTTTCAGAGTTGCATCTTATATCCATTTTGGTCTTTTCTGTCTTTTTTTTTTTTTGAGATAGACAGAATTTTGAGTTTATTGTGCTTGGATTTCAGTGAGCCTCTGGGATTTGCAAATTGATGCTTTCTACCAAATTTGGAAAGGTTTGAACTGTTATTTATTGCAATATTTTCCTGCCTCTTTGTTTCTTTCTCTCCTTCTGGGATCTAGTTAAGCATACGTTGGACATCCCAAAATTGTTTCACAAGTCTCTGAGGTTGTGAAAAAAAATTTTTTTTCTAATTGTGATTTGGGTCTTTTCTGTCTTTTTAGTAATGTGTTGCTTTCTTCATGTATGATGTTCTTTATGTTGTCCTAGAATTCATCTTGTTTTTGGTCATTGGTGTTCAGTGAGTCAAATCTGTTCTTCACATGGTCTCTAAATTCAGGTGGGATATAACTAAGGTCATATTTTGGCTCTCATGGACTTGTTTTAACTGTCTGCAGCTTCACCTTGAATTTGTATATGAGCAACTGATTGTTCCATAGTCAGCTCCTGGCCTCGTTTTGGCTGAAGGTATTGAGCTCTCCATCCACTCTTGCCACAGATGTAGTCCATCGGATTCCTCTCTGTTCCAGCTGGTGAGGTCTATGTGTAGTACTGCCATTTTTTATGTTGTTGAAAAAAGGTATTTGCAATATATAAGTCATTGGACTTAAAAAATTCTATAGTGTAATCTTTGGCATCATTTCTATCACCCAGGCCATAATTTCCAGCTACCAATTCTTCTTTGTTTCCAGCTTTTGCATTCTAATAACCAGTAATTATCAACACATCTTGATTGCATGTTTGGTCAATTTCAGACAGCTGTTGTTGTTATGTGCCACTGAGTCATCTCCAACTCCTAGCAACCTTATGAACAATAGAACAAAACACTGCCCAGTCTTGTGCCAGCCTCACAATCCCTACTGTATCCGAGCCCATCGCTGTAACCACCTGTGATAGCTGGAGCTGTGTGTCAACTTGGCTGGACCCCAGTTCTGTGTGGTTGTTCCCATGATGGGATCGGATGACTGTGTTCTGAGTGGCCAATCTGCCCAACGGGAGTTTCCCTAGGGGTATGGCCGGCTTCCAGGATATCCAGGGACATCCTGGGAAGAGAGACATTCTTCTGTGGATCGGGACCCTGGTGTGCTGACTACGACCTTCTGTGAGTGAGCAGCCCACCTCTCAGCCTGGAGATCTTGGATTCATCTTTCGTTGGAGTCAACAACCAGTGTACTGCCTGCCAGCCTTGAATTTTTCAGCGCCCTGCAGTTGCGGAAGCTAAGGCTGCCTCCAGCCCGACGTTTCCTCCAGGGACTTTGGACTTACTGGCTTCCATACATTTGTGAGCCATTTTCCTAAGATAAATTTCTCTCTATATATAAGCTTTGCTGGTTTTTGTTTCTCTAGAGAACCCCGTCTAACACACCACCATACCAATCCATTTTGTTGAGGGCCTTCCCCTCTTTCATTGACCCTCCACCTTATCAAGTATGACATCCTCTCCAGGGAATGGTCCCTTCTGACAACATAACTAAAGTAGGTAAGATGAAGTCTGGGCATTCTCGCTTCCAAGGAGCATTCCTGCTGCATTTCTTCCAGGACAGACTTGTTAGATCTTTTAGCAATTCATGGTACTTTCAACATTCTTTGCCAAGACCATAACTCAAAAGTATCAACTCTTCTTTGGTCTTCCTTATTCATTGTCCAGTTCTCACATGCATATGAGGTGATGGAAAATACCATGGCTTGGATTAGGTGCATTTTAGTCTTCAAGGAGATAACTTTGCTCTTCAGCCCTTGAAAGAGGTCATTTACAACACATTTCCCCAATTCAATACATCTTTTGATGTCCTGACTGATGCTTTCTGGATCAAACATCAAGCTGGCTCTTGTAACTGCAGGGGCTGAGGAGCTCAAGGCTGGCAGGCAGTACACCGGCTGTTGACTCCAACGAATGACAAATCCAAAATCTCCAGGCCGAAAGGTGGACTGTTCTCTCATGGACAATTGTAGGCAGCACAACAGAATCCCGATCCACAGAAGAATGTCTCTCTTCCCAGAATGTCCTTGGATATACTGGAAGCAGGCCACACCCCTAGGGAAACTCCCTTTCAACAGATTGGCCCTCAGAACATAGTCATCTGGATCAGGGGAACAGCCACACCACAACACCTCAAACCACACAGAATTGTGGTCCAGCCAAGTTGACACACAGCTCCAACTATCATAGTCCACCCCTTGTCAACTTGGCAGTTGTACACATCTTCTTAACCATATATAATCTCTAAATAAGGACAATTATAAAGTCGTATTTGTGCCTAACATGATACTCTAACACACATACAACCAAAATGTATTAACCTTATTTACATTTCACAGTTCATAACAAAAGGAAACAAAAATATTTGATACACATATACAATGAAGAAATATAACAATCACAGTCCTCGTTTCTGTAGCTGGTCACATGGTTGTAACTGATATTCAGAACTACCTTCTTCTACCACTGCAAAAAGGGCAAGGAGGCCACATGTTCTGACCTCCTCTAATCCCACGAGAGGAAGACAG